TACCTACCTACCTACCTACCTATCTAATTATCTATTTACTTTCTATTACAAACAGGATTGAAGCTTTTCGATAAATAAATGCTTTCGATAAATTAACGTTCGTTTTGATCCGCTTTATTGTCAATCGATCGGTCGATCAATCGATCGATCAATCAATCGATCAATCGATCGTTAAGATTAATGGAGATTGTAATCTACGTTAATTTAAACAGTGGGCAGATATGATGTATGAACAATGTATCGACGTACGAATATCCTGGTAACGAATCCGATTAACTTGGGGTGACCGAGTAGAATTCCATCGGGAATTATATAAAATTAATTGAATCGAAACAAACACATAATGACTTTCGATTTCTCTCTTCCCTTTTCGGACGCTTTGCCGGAATCATTATCAACTAAAAAGGCACGCTATCGATTATTTATTTCTTTATTTCTTTATTTCTTTATTTATTATTTGTATCTAATAAAAACTATCTGATGCGTCGTTATGACGTATATGCGTTTAAAAAAAGAAAAGAAAATAAAATGAAATGAAATCCAAATATTCATCAAAACGTCACGTTCGAGCGATTGATTATAATTTTTACAGTCGGCCTGAGAGAAAATAAGCCGATGAGATTTAGAAAAAAAAAGAAAAAAATGAGAGTAAAAAAAAAAAAAAGAAAATAAGAAGAAGAAGAAGAAATAGGAAAAGAAGGAATTTATTTTCAATCGTAAATATTTCCTGATAGTTAGAATTTTACATCTCTGTCATTAATTCCACGATTTCGTTATTTAAGAAAATCACGAAGTAACGAGAACGATAGGGTCCGGTCTATCATTTAAATTGCCATCGTAAAAGATTAAACACGGGGAGGAGGATAGAGAGATAGAGGCACGAAGAGCAAACTACTTGAAAGCAAATCCAAGTAAATCGTGTTAAGTAAATATCTAAGTGACTACGAACGGATTAGGAAAAGTGGATATTATCTGTGAGAATTTTTTTTTTCCTCTTTACTTTCTTCTTCTCAAATATCGCCGCGATAAGTACATAGATGGATTAGCAACATTTAGATAAAGTTTCATTCTCGTGTTATATAAATAAAGCAAAAAAAAAAAGGGGGGGGAAAGGGAAAAAATCGTGATCGTATTTAAAACAATAGTAATAATAGATAATTAAAAAAAGGAAGTTCACGGCCATCTAGAACAACGTCGTTGGTTACGGCTTCTTTACGATCGATCGAGTATACAAAGAGCAGAAAAATGTTGCGCATTCGGCCAGCAAATCGTATCTACCCGTTCTAATCCGTTCAAAACTATCATCACAATCCACTTACCCCAATGTTGAAAGAAAACCTGAAACACTTCCCTCGGCGTAGAGACTGACGATATCGCCGAGATGGAGGAAACTCGCCGAACCAAGAATTTCACCCATTTTGCAGCGCTTTTCTTTCGCGTGTTTCCAAATACCTCGAAATCAGAGGTAAACGCCTCGATCACTACAACTTTTAGCCGATCGAATTAGTCATGGCGACACCTGAAAGGAGAAAAAAAATAATATAAAAAAGAAAAAAAAAAAAAAGAAAAAAAAAAGAGAGAAGATTATTATTAATAGAAAGATCTCACCGAAAGATAATTATTCATTAACGGATAAACATATATAAATTCGATATACAATATGATCGAAAATTCGTCATATTTTCTATAAATACCAATTGCATCAATGATTTGATGCAATTTAAAATATTCTATATATTGGATAAACATGATTATTTCCTGTTACGTTGAAATCATTCAAATGAAATTCTTTTCAACTTGTATTTTCGTTTATCAATCTTTGATCCTTTTTTTTTTCTTTTTTATCCACGATCGTTAAACCATTTACTTACTACTACTTTTCTCTCATCCCTGAGAAAGAGAAATAAATATCTCTATGAGAGCTATTTCAATTTTCGTCTATATAAATTATGTACATGTAGGATACGACGAACGAAAGTATCGTAGATTAAGAATGGCTTATCGGACGCGAACGACCGACCAAACGATCGAATGGACCGCAACGAGGTCGGCTTTGAATTTATCTGACCCTTAACCTTCGCTTATAAGCTCACAATAATGCTAAAGAATTAAATGTTCTTTCAAGGTTAATTTTTTACAAGGCTATTCGTTTCACAAGGGATCACAAGTTTTTTTTAAAGAACAATTGTTTTTTTTTTTTTAAATCGCAAATAATACTGCGTCCTACCTTCGTGACCTTAAAAAAAGAAAGGAAAAAAAAAAAAAAAAAAGAAAAGAAGAAGAAGAAAAAAATTATTCAAGATACATTCTCCTAGTTGATAATAATTCCTTCTTAATTTTTTGAAAAATCGTCACAATCATTTCATTCACTAGAATCAAACGTTCAAGCTTTAAAAGTTCCTTTCAAATTCTATTTTCCGTAATCTCCTACGCGTAATAAAAAATGCAAATTTGATGAATGATCTTATCTACTCTCTACGAGCAATTTATTTTCTCTTTTTTTCTTATTTTGTATGTCAATGCAAGTTCGTATCAGTATTTATGACTCAAGAGTATTTTAAACATGTCTTTCTAATGTCTTTCAAAGTGTGACCACATAGCGTACATACGAATCTATTTGAACGGGACTGCAGAAAGAAAAGAGAGAGAGAGAGAGAGAGAGAGAGAGAAAGAGAAACGATTAAATTATGAATGAGAAATCACCATAACGAAGGATGAATTTACAATGGATGTGTGAACGTCACGAACAGTCAACTAATTTTCGTTCGAATGAGACCCAATTATCAATCTACATGATCAATGTGCATTATCAAAACACAAAGGATTTTTATCCAATATTTTTTCTTTCTCTCATTCTTATTCTCTCTTTCTCTCTCTCTCTCTCTCTCTCTCTCTTTCTTTTCTCTCTTTCTCTCAAGATTATCAATGAAATAGTCTTTGATAGAGAAAAAAAAAACAGAAAAAACTCCAAAAATGTCGAAATAATCGAAATTGAGGAAACACTTTCTTATTGCACAGAGTTCACGCTTAAAGCGTGTAAAATACGTACATATTGCATAATGAATGACTTGAGCCATAATACATACACGTGACCAAGAGTCTCGAGGGAAATGTTAAGCACGTGATAAAGTTTGATGTTAGACGTCGTAGCACAGTCGTAATTAGCAACTCGCGTAGAAGACGAATGCGTTTTGCCTGCATTTCATTTCTTTGATTTAGAAATAGAGAAAATGAGAAGAAGAAGCGGAAGAAGAAGAAGAAGAAGAAGAAGAAGAAGAAGTAGAAACAAGAAAAAAAAAATAAACAAGAAAGGAAAAAGTATAAAGAACAAGAAAAAGAAAATACAAAAAGCGTAACAAAGGAGAAAGAGAAAAAAGGGAAAATTAGAAAATGAGAAAAAAGTACGGTGAAAAGAGAGAAAGAAGAGAAAAGAGGGGAAAAAAAGGAGGAAAAGAAAAAAAAAAGATCTTAGAAAGAGTACGGAAAATAAACTTGAAGAAATCATTATTAATTAAATGCATGTTTGTTCCACGTAAAAGATTTCTTAACAAGATGGTTCTGTAACAATCGATTGAGTTCTTTCTATCGTGAAACGTTTATGCTACGCGTTTCGCCTTACTCGATGAAACGTAACGAGATATAATTTTCGCCTTGTATACATAATCATACATACATACGTACTTAGTTACTTTATGTATATATATATATATATATGTATATATATAAATGTATATATACGTATACAGACATACGTGTTCTCGCAATAAATGCACTAAGACGTTATATATTAGAATGTAAAAAGAGTAAAGCAAACTGACAGATGTTCCTAGGGTATATTTCTTCTTTGTTATTGTCGACGGTGGGGTCGATCGAGAGCAACGATCAATTGGCCGTCAATATGGCCTAATGGAAATGCACCGATGCATCGATAAACGAGAGATGAGTGTACTTATACTTAACGAGTATAATATTATCGTCGAAAGTTATCAAACGACGTTCCGAATGAATGTCGTATAAGATCCATAAGGTTTTAAAATATTTTCAATTACATGAAATTCACACAAATCTTACGTCTTACTACTTATACAATTTGCCAATTGTATGTGCTAAATTAATTCATTTTCTCGCTTAAAGTGAAAGTTAAATTTTTAAGAGAATGAGGTACAATAAAAAAAAAAAGAAAAAACAAATTTTATTTACACATTTTGCACGATGTTTACTTAGAGAATCCATACGTTCGAGACTCATTTGTAAGGCAACCTCTTAGGCCCCTTTTTAGCAGACCCAACTAAGTAACAATTAAAACGCTCAGGTTTCATAAAAGGCAGTATCGAGTTTTCATGAATCCGCGCGAGCCAACGTGAGAGATCTACGTTACAAAGTCTGAAACGTTTCGTTTTTTCCAAGGATTTCCACCTACTACTCGACGATAGATGGAAAGATATTTTTACGTGATTCTTTCCTGGATCGTTCTTGAAAACGAAAGTGACAGAGAAAGAGAGAGAGAGAGAGAGAGAGAGAGAGAGAGAGAGAGAGAGAGAGAGAAAATGTGTGAGAAAGAGAGAATGAAATTGTCCTTGATAAGACTTAATGCATCGAGCCAACGTCACCCTTTAAATTTATGAACGTAGAGCGGTAATCTTCAATGGCGCGCCGTAAGAATAACATCCATAATTTTCCAAGACGTTGCCAGTAACTCGCCAGGAAGTGCGAAAAGAAAAAAAAAATATATATATATATATATAAAGAGAGAGAGAGAGAGAGAGAGAGAGAGAATCTGAATTTATGAAGAACCAAATAGAATTAAAGCTTTTGCAGTAATATCATCGAGTCCTGAAATTTTTTATACGAACGTTCGATGATCGTCGATAAATAATTAACCGACGATGTGATAACGCTTATAATTTAGGGAAAAAAAAAAAAAAAAAAAAAAAAAAACAGATTTAAATATAAACACAACACATAAGTGGAATATAAAATGAATGAAAACATTACGTCTGATCATTACGAATCGTTTGCATCGTATGCATCGTTTCTCCTGTCTGATGTCAATAACCCGTTGGCTTTGCCGGGTTCGATCGTATCGCCAGCTCGGGATGATCTATAAAACGCTATATCCGTTTTACAACGAAATAAAGTGGGTTACTAACGACTAAGTTAGATAGTCTCACGTCGGGCTACATATGTATCTACTAGCTTGTGGGAACGTTCTTTCTCTCTCACTCTTATTTTCTATCTAATCTCGAATCTGCAACCTGCCACTCAGTTGAAATAATAAACCTAATAAAATAAATATATATATATTTACATAGGCACCGCTACGACAATATATATATATATATATATATATATATATATATATATATATATATGTATATATGTGTATATATATATATATAATATTATAAAATGTTTATGAACAATGTACAATTAAGTTTTTTACTCCTATATACATTAAATATATAAAATTTAATAATTATATGAATTACTAGTATAAAAACTGAAAGAGACTCTTAACTATATTACAAAATTAATTGATATATATATCATATTCCTTTATGATTTACAATGTTAGCCAAAAATTACTAGATCATTTTATAAAACAATTATTTTTTCTCGAAACTTTTTATGCTATTCTTTCTTATTTTCATTCATCTTCTTTTTTTTTTTTTTTGTTTTCTTCGTTGTAATAAAACTACAAGCTAAAGAAATTTAGAAGGACGATGTAGCTGAAAACTTTTTTTATCTCTCCATCCCTCTCTCTCTCTCTCTCTCTCATGCTCTTGCTTCATATTTTACGCAATAAAACTTTCGAAGACTATAAAAAGATAATGTTTCGACAACTATTGATATAATATCGATGAACGAGCTGATTATTACCATACTAGTTTTCGAGAAGATACAGTAGGAATAAGCACGTTGTAACCAACTGTTCGAGACATGCACGCACGTGGAATAACGTTGAACGCAATACCAATACCGCAACCGCTGGTTAGTTCCATTATCGTCGTTAATGCTAAACGATGCAACGCTAAATAAGGGCAAACTCGGTAATCGGAGTATGATACGTGTAGCTTGAATTCCCGTATCCTTGAAGGTCCTAATAACCAAACATAGATCCTCTTAATTCGTATAAGAAAAAATACTTTTTTTTTTTTTCTTTTTTTTTTTACTTCGCCAAATAATCTACGTAATAATATAATATCTCGCTAATCTTATCTTATCGATTCATTAGTTAAAGAAAAAAAAAAAAATAAGAAAAAAAATTATTCGTTAACATAACAGAAAAATTATTACAAAATTAATTCACGCAAATATTAATTACTATATAATTTCCATTTCGCATATACATATATATATATATATATGTATGTATATCTCTGTGTGTGTGTGTGTGTGTGTATGTGTGTATAATGTATCTAACCTACATTATGACTTTTAATTCGAAATATATAAAGAAAATTTGTCGAACATATCTTGTCGAATGTTCGTTCGCGAGAATAACAACAATGGCATCCGATTCGTAAGTTCAAATACAGCTGCTAACGCTTAGCACACGCGGTACGACGTGTAACAGGTTCCTTACGTTTCTCTCTTTCTCTCCCTCTCCCTCTCTCTATCACTCTGTCTCTGTCTCTCTCTTTCTACATATATATATATATATATATATATATATATATATCTTTCCTTTTCAAGACTATCCTTTTCTTCTTCAAGGTGAACTCAAAAGAGTCTTCGCCGTCGTCGATCATACGGATCGTCGGCTTTGATATACAACGATTTAAAGGGATCATCCATGTTTCTTAAGAATGCCTTCAAGATAAACACGTGCATCTAATTTTTCATCTCATCATTCACAATAAATGGATGGATATAAGTTGATATATATATATATATAAAGATTCACACGTACTCGTTAGAATCTTTATTTAAGTCATTGTTTTTTCGAGAAGAAAAAGGCAAAAAAAAAAAAAAAAAAAAAAAAAAAAAGAAAAGAGAGAGAGGAAAAAAAAAGCAAAAAAAAAAAAGGGAAAACAACGGAAATAATACTTCGAAGAAACTTTCGATGATTTTTCTCATTTATTCTCCTTTAACACTTTCTAACGAAAGAAATAACATTACCTCGATTATTCCTCGGTATGCGTGTTTCTTTTCCGTAAAGCTTTTTGCATTGGAAAACTTTCAGCCAATTTTTTTTTATTCTAACGCAATCCTCTTTCCACATGAACTTGATAAAGTTTTAACGATAACAGGAGATGGGGAGGGATGGAGGGAGGGAAGACTTATCTAATAGCCGAAACACGTTGATACGTTGATACGTTGATACGTTAGATTTCTTGCTCTTCTCTTTATAAGCTATAAGATAATAAATAAACAGATAGCTATGTATACGAAGAAGAAAAAAAAGAGAGAGAGAGAGAGAGAGAGAGAGAGAGAGAGAGACATAACGATCATAAAATTTTCAAACTAAAAGTTGATTTTCTTTATGAGCTCTTCGCTCCCACCTCTTTTCTCTCTCTCTCTCTCTCTCTTTCTCCCTCTCCTTCTCTCTCTCTCTCTCTCTCTCCCTTCCTCTCTCTCTCTCTCTCTCTTTCTCTCTCTCTCTATTTCTCCAATAAATACCGCGAATTGGAAATTTTTGTTGATTCGCGAAATGTACAGGATGGTATATGTACGTATATAGATCAGTTTTACAAATAAAATCTCAATCTAATTTTAGAATAGATAGATAGATTTTCCCGATGAAATTTTACGAATATAGGCTGAAACAGCTGTACGCTCTACTTGACCCTCGTCAAGAACGAGTCCATTCGAGTGAACTCGACGATGGTGACGACGGACACTACGATGACAGCGACGACGGACAACGACGTTGCGATTTCTCTCTCTCTCTCTCTCTCTCTCTCTTGCTTTTTCTCTTCTTCCTTTTTCTTTCTTTTTCTTCATACATATATAACGACGTAAATGCACCTCACGTATGTATATACATTTACTCAATACGTACGTACGTATACAAGTTATATGTGCAGGTAGAGTGAAGGCTACTACTACTACTACTACTATTACTACTACTATTACTATTTCTACTATTAAACCAAATTCACTTGAAATTTTTTAATGTACGTTTCAAATGTGGAAAAACAAAAAATCCAGCCTTTTTTCCTTCTCAATTTATATTATCTCGTGTCTCTTGCGAGAGAATAAAGTTTCCACGAGAAAAGTATCGAGAGGAAGAAGAAAAAAAAAGGATAGAAAATAGAAAAAGGGATAGAGAGGAGAGGGGAAGGAAGAGAAAAAAGAAAAAGAGAAGATAAAAAAGAGAGACACCACACAAAGATAGACTGACTCTTACCTTTGAAGTTTTTACGAAAAATTTTTTACGTCGAGACAATTTCGACGAGGATAATTACGCGTTAAACGTTTATGTCGAAAAGACCAGTACTATACGAGACAATATAGAAACGAATATATTATCTTACGGAATAATTTAGCGATGTGAGAAAAAAAAAACAAAAACAAAAACAAAAACAAAAATAAAAATAAAAAAGATAAAATATGAAAAGAAAAAAGAAAAGAAAACCCAAAGAGGAAAGAAAACAAAGAGAGAGAGAGAGAGAATGAGAGAGTGAGAGAGAGAGAGAGAGAGAGAGAGAGAGAGAGAGAAAGAGAGACGAAAAATGATATGGAAGTGTGCACTTTGCACTTACGTGCGAGTAAAGAGAGAGAGAGAGAGGGAGAGAGATTCTCTCGTTATAAAGTAGAAAAATAGAAAAAGAAGAACTCGAAAAATAATATACACATATATATATATATATATATATCGCAAAGAATGAAAAGAAGAAAAACGTGTTTACTCACACACTTCTTTGTCGGCGATACGCCGGAACAACTCGTAGCTGACTTCACGTTGTCGATCGAAATCGTTGGAGAGGCGGCGGGTGCGTGTGCGTTCGCACCGGTCGAGACGAGCCACTTGTAAATGTCTCTTTCTTTCTTTCTTTCTTTCTTTCTTTCTTTCTTTCTTTCTTTCTATCTATCTATCTATCTCTCTCTCTCACTCACTCTCTTTCTCTCTTTCTTTCACTCTCTCTTTCTCACACACACTCTTCTCTTTCTCTCTCTCTCTCTCTCTCTCACTCTCTCTTCAACTTTATCCTTCGTAAATGGTCTGAAAAAAGAACCTTCGATCGTTGAACATAAAACGTTTATAAATGAATTTTAATGATCGTAAATCGTATTATCGAAAAATCGAAAGATCGTATAATCGAAAAATCTCTCACAAATCCGGAATAAAATCTAATAAAGATGACGATGACGATAACGATGATGATGATGATGATGAAGAAAAAGAATTAAAAAAAAAGAATTAAGAAGAAAAAGAACACGACGATGTATGTATTCGACGACTATGACGACTATGTAAGAATAAAACGTTTATTCACATCGGTAGATCGATCGATCTCGTTTATACATATAACTTTTACTCGTATACGATTTCACGATAGTAATGCTCGTTCGTTCCTTCGTTCGTTCGTTCGTTCGTTCGTTAGTTAGTTCCTCTTCACTTCGGGTTTTCTCTTTGGAGCGCCTACGGTACGCGCGCGCACTTACACTATCGCGCGCGCACTCACTCAACAACACACTACTGCCTTACGTATAGATGTATATGTATGTGTGTGTATATATATATATACACGTATCTATCGATAGGAGGAAAAAATACGCGCAACCTAACGGAATGACATTCGAACCGTACGGTGGTTCTGATACAACTGAAGGTAGTCGGAGTCTCGCGCTGATCGAGCCACCACTCTCGCGCATATCCCCACCCTATCTTCGTTTACCCCCACCATTCTCACAACCCACGACCGTTCCGTCTTCTTTTGCATATGGCGGACTGACTGTTGTCGGTTCCCCGCCCAATCCGCGCGCACGATCTTTCTTTCTCTCTTTCATCTCTTTTTTCTTTCTTTCCTTCTTTCCTTCCTTCTCTTTCCTTTCCTTTTCTTTTCTTTTCTTTTTTTCTTTCTTTCTGTCTTTCTTTTTCTTTCTTCACATCATTCGTTCTTGTTCTTTTTTTTCCTTTTTTCTTTTTTTCTTTTTCTTTTTTTTCTTTTTTTTTTTTTCTTTCTTATTCTCATCGTCGAATCTCTTCATACACTCTCTTCTCAAAACATTTTTCTCTTTTTACGACGTGAGAATATAGTTGCGCTTTTGAAAAATGCCATCCATACGGACGACGTCGTTTTTTTTTCTTTTTTCTTTTTTTTTTTCTTTCTTTTTTCTTTTTTTTTCTTTTTTTAAGACCACGAAAATATTACCAATCGACTATTTACGGAATTTAAATAGCATACGTATGGGCTTATCTATTCGCGCATTGCTTTAGAACGCAAACGGTGGCACTTTGGAGCCGAGCATTTCCAAGCTAAACAGGCTTATAAAAATAAAGTTTAAGATACTTGCGATAGATGGTATGGCGAGGAGGTGGCTCCTCGGTGCAATCGTTTTCCTAATGCTTTAAAACTTTACGTACGACTCTATATCTCTGTCGTTTAATATCTTACTACGTTATATATAATTACATTTTCGTTTAACATAAAAGTTGCGTAATGATCAATTTGATTCCGAGATTATAATATGCGCTCGTGAATAGAATTTATTACGTGAAATTCGAGCGATTTGTAATGATATATAAGTGGTGGGGGAGGATAGGCGCGCAATTACGAATCATCATCATCCATCGGTATTGCAGACGGCCGCGTGAACAAACAAACATTTCGGCACTTTCGATAAGGTACAACGTGCTATGCTAAAAAAAGAAACGTTTCTCTTTCCTTGCGTTCCAAGAGAGAAGTATGAATAATTTCGTAGAATAGGAATCCGAAATAAATTTCGGATATGTCTCGAAGGTTCGAAGAAATTATGATATAACCAACTGGCTTCCGTCCTTTTTTCTTTTTTCATTTTATTGTACCAAAAAATTGCATCTTGTTCGATCATCGTTAATTTAATATAATATATATATTTATAATTTTATATATATATATATACTTTTTTTTTTGTTATATCTTATTTATAATAAATACTTTTATAGAGTAGTGTAGTGTTCATGTTGTCGCTCTTTATTGTGTTGCCATGAGAACGCGGAATCAGCGAGTTTCTTTCAATCGTCGTCGTTATGCTAGCTAGAAAAAATGTCCTGCAATCGATCGGACTTTTAAAAGTCGTTTTTACGTTTTCTTTTTTTTTTTTTTATTTTTTTCCCTCTTACTTTAGTTTCTAACGTATGATTAATCTTATTAATTGGACACGCTGAATGATACGCGTCCCATTTAGATTAATAAATATCATCGATTCAAGAATCGATGGGATATATATTTTTTAAACGCCTTCTTTTTTCTTCTTTTTTTTTTTGGTTTTTTTTTTTCTTTTTTTTGAACGAGAACGTTCAAGGGCGAATTAGATTGTTATCGGATTCTCTCTCACATTTCTTCGATAATGCGAGCATTCGGACAGAGACGATTTGTATTTACATAATTTAAAACAATATATGTAGGTATAACTCTAAGAAAATTTAATAATTATCTTAAGACTCTGATCGGCTCAAGTCGGTTCGCTTATTGTCTTACAATTTTTATAAAGGACCATAATCTTACGTATATACACATATATATATATACATATATATATATATATATGTATATGTATATGTATATATATTTTTAAAGATCGGTTTAATCGAATTCAGGATCAAGTTGCGTATATACGCTAGCGCATATTCATACGTTCGTATAAATAAATAAATAAATAAATAAATATGTCCGAGTATCGAGAGAAAAAAGCAACCGATTTGAACTGATCAAGACTTTTAACAAGTCAAAAGCGGTAGAGCTAATTATCGCGTACCGTAAGAAAATATATACCTCTACAGACACCAATAATTCGATCTCACGATTGTAGGGTGAAACGCTTAAACGTCCTTCGAAAAAAACGTTTAATCGTTTACGCTGATAGCTCAACGTACTCAACGAACAATTTAAGTGCTTCACTATATATATATATATATAAATATATACATATATATGTGTATATATATATATATATCATTTTACAAAGCCATTTTCAATTTTTCCTCAATTTCCTGCAAACTCTGTGACGATTATTCCTACGTATTTATATATCGTAACATATATCGATTCTTCTTTATTCCTTGTGAATCGTTCGATTAAGCGTGACATCGTTCCGAGATTTGATGAGTCCAATTGAACACATTGTCTAAACGATCTCGTTAACACTTTGCGAGATGACATTAATATTATTATTATTATTATTATTATTATTATTATTTCGATTTAATTTTCATTAACGCTCGATCAACGATTCGTTTTATCAATTTCTATTGGCTCCTATCGGAATCTAAGTACAGATTTTGATATATTCAAGAATATTTTTTTTTTCTTTTATTTTTATTTTCCTTTTTTTTCCTTTTTTTCTTTTTTCCTTTTTTTGCTTTTATTTCCGTGAAAAAAAAAAGAAAAGAAAAAAAAAGAAAAAGAAGAATAACAAACGCGAAGACATTACGTTACAGAAAAGAGGAAAATTCTACTGTAATGTATCTAACGAAATTACTATTTCAGCAGAGACATATGAAATTAGATAGTTATTATCTTCATCTCGTTATTCAACGTTCTTCTTATTCCTTGACATTAGAAGCATCTCTCTCTCTCTCTGTCTCTCTCTCTCTCTCTCTCTCTCTCTCTTTCTCTCTCTCTCTCTCTTTTCTCTCTCTCTCTCTCTCTATATATATATATATATATTCGTTAATAAATCAAAAATGTCTACTATATTTTGCTTAAGGAGTAAGATTTTCTCTGTATACTGACATCGTCGGACGAGAAAATATATCTCTATGCTTTTTGACTGGTCAAATTGCACTTAACGAAAATCGGTAAAATTTTCTTTGCGACGTGTACACGCATAACACGTAGACACGCGTATACATATGCACGCACATACATACATACATACATACACAGACAAACACGCGCACACACACACACATACACACATACAGACACATTTTTCTCTTAGTAATATTATAAGTACAAGATAGTTTGAAATTTCTGTTGGCTCGACAAAAATAAAACGTAAGAACAATTATCTCTTTATAGTTTTTAAATGAGGAGAGCAAAAGAGAAAAAATGGAAAGAAAAAGTGAAAGAGAAAAATGGGTAGAAAAAAAAAGATTCCGTGTCGCGATGGATGCCAATTATAATTCTTCATACAGTATATATATATATATATATATATATATATATATATATATATATAAACTTTTAACATAACTTCAATTTAATTGAAAATAATTATACAAAGACCATAACGTCTCTCGATGTCTTGACATCCATTACGATTTTTTACGTACACTGTTTCTCATTCTCCTGATTTAAAATTATTGATCATTCATATCTCTAAGTCATTTAGGCTGACATAATGCGATGTTCTCTGCGTATCCCATCGGATCAGATATATCAGCAAAATTTTGCATAAGGTAAGAAAAAGCCAATTAACATAAGGAAGGTAAGGATTGCTTAAAGATTAAAACGTAATATTATTACGGCGGAGGGATGAGAGGGAATGTAATGGAATGATAGTGGGGGGGGAAGTGCGTAGAGGGAACGGGGGCGGCATCGTTTTCATTGGATAACTGTATAGAACTAGTTTCAATCATATCTCGATCATATTTGCAATGTCGCACATTTAAAATTCAAATCGACTATTACTGCGATTATATATGTATGAAACGTATGACAATTCATATACCATTGATAACGTATTAGATAACATCGATGACATAATACTAAAAACGCGTAGCAAAAATATTGCTGTTTCCTTCTCCCGATCGAAATGCCTCAGTCTATAGGAAAAGTATTTCTTATTTTCTCGGCGTTGGCGAGATAGAGGGGAAGGGAGGGCAGAGGGAAGGGGAGGATGGGGTGGGAGGGGGAAGAAAAAAAATATACAAAGTTGGAATCATTATTAAGATAGTTAGTTAATAGTTAGATAACAAAATAGAAATAGTTAATAGAATAATTACTTAAGGTCTATAAAGAATGGGTGTTAAATATCTATTTGTAAATTTTGAAATAATATCAATTATAAACGCCCGGCGAAGATATGTCGGTGATAAGCAATGAGATTTTATATAAACGATTTGATAAATCAAAATGATAATAATGATATTTTTTCAATAAATATATCTATTCACTATTGCAATCTCTTTTATCCTAATTTATAGAAACGATGTTATTCTATTATTAAGAACGATAAAGTTACGAACGTAAGAAATATTTTTAAAATGCCTTATCCAAAGCTCGCTACATACACATATGTATATTTCATTGATTTTAAAAAGTCATCATATTTATCATATTCTTTAATCTTCGACATCTGTGAATTTTGCACAAGTCGACATTTATAATGAGGAATAAAATAACAACGGATTTCATTTTTCTTTTGTTTTTTTTTGTTGTTGTTATTGTTGTTATATATTGTCGCCCATTTTCAAAGTTCAAATAATCTCGTTTTTAGGCACAAAATAGGCTATGAATATAATATACACTCGTTTCTTGTAAGGGTTTCATAGTTGACAAGTATGTAATAGGTTTGATTTGAATGTATTATCGATATAGCGATGTTCAATATTTGTGAATAAAATGTCAACAATTCCAGTTTATTCGTTTGGATTTAATATATGAAATATGAAGGATTTTTAATTTGGCGTATAACCAGACGGTGTGCACTGAGACACTTTCTTTCTTTAATAGAAAACGATAACGGATAATTCAGCAACTGTAGTGCCTAGGAAAGAGAATACATAAATTGTAAAATGACGATTGTCAAAGAAATAAAGCATTTAAACAGAAGGAAAAACAAACAACATTTGCAAAAAAAATAAAAAATGATTATTAAAACTATTCGTTTACTTAAATGAACATTCGTTAGTAAAAACTACATATTTTCAGTAGAGTCATGCGAATATGATAACTACTATACATATCTAGTTAATTCTATGATACATGTATAATGATAATATGAGATCTTAAAACGTGACTTCACCTCGATCACTTCGACCTGTTGATTAGACGCAAATACTCCATAATGTGTTTTCTTTCTCGTTTTCAATGAAATATCTCAATAATATAAAATTAATTGACATTTACGTTGAGAATGTGAAAATAAATTGACATATAAAAGCAACTATGTATCGTAATAACGCACAAAGAAAACATTCAACATTAGAAATGATACGAAAGAAATTATAATGTACATTCTAATACACAGTTTTATAATCGTTTCTCATAACTGTCCCTCTCTTGACATATTAACAAATTATTTCCCGATGTAATAATATTTTCTTTGCTTTTCGTCAAATTTGCATTTAGGATGGACACAGGTGCAAAGACGACAAATGCAGCAAATCTTCCTAATAACGCATATGGTTTTTATCCAATTTTGTAACATATATCAACGTACAATGACAAAATGCAATAGAAATAACAGCAAAAATAAGACGGCGTATAATTTAGAACAACAAAAAAAAAAGAAATATTCATAATAATAATAATAATAATAATAATAATAATATTAATAATAATAATAATAATAATAATAATAATAATAATAATAATAATAATAATAATAATAGTAATAATAATAAAAAATAAAAGAAATCTATTTTTATATGATATTTCCAAAAAGTATAAAGCCATATTCGTCTACTTAATCTCTTAATAATCGACATTTCAAAATAACGAATTACACATTGCCGTTCGCGTCACCGTGAAAATAAATCATCGATAATGATTCCATACTCACGAAGGTCTTAAATAATTAATTTTTATAATAAGGTCGAGTAATATCCATTTGTTTTTCCTTATACGAAAGGCAAAATATAAAGCTTAAAATATGAGCGCAATCCACGTTGGATGAAAAATTAACGACATACATATATGGAGTTTAATTGTTAATGCGAATATAAGAAATTTTACCAAATTTTATTTTTCGATCGATGTATAAAATCATTTTTTCCAATTATTAATTTTTTTTTCTTTTCTTTTCTTTTCTTTCTTTTTTTTTTCTTTTTTTTTTTGTTTTTTCTTTTTTCCTTCGAATTAATTACATATATCAACAAAGAATTATGCGCTCATAAATAAAATCAAAAATCCACTTCGATGGATGCACTCACATAAGAGAGAAGCAATATAATATAATAATATTACTCTAAATTTATTATAATATTTGTGTGTGTGTGTGTATGTGTGTGTGTGTGTGATAAAAATTAATAAAATGAAATGAATCTACGCGTTGTTTTTATATTTCAAAAATAAACACGACAAAATTTTAATTGAATTATCTTTTCATTCTTTTAATAATAGCTCTCTCTCCGTTTTTATATAAGCTTCAATAACGAATTTCAAAAAATTACTCCGAGCGTAAATACAATTTCTTATTTTCATTATCAATTTTTTAATTAGCACATTAAATAGAACCAATATAAAATCTCTATTATAATGTTAGAAATTTTCATATAGCGTACGACTAATTCATAATTAAATTGCCAATAATGATATATCACACTACAATTTAGCAAGCAATTTAAATAACGTAAAAAATGTAAAATAACAGAATCAATTAACATAGAACAATTATCTCGTTCTTCTTATTAGTTTTTGTAAGCAATTCTTTCATGAGACCCATAGAATAAGGCACATTTCTCTGCCCACGAAAGGCACTAAAATACCATGGCTATACGTGTCTCTCGTATAAAGTTAATCATTTCTTTTTTTTTTTGTCTTTTTTTTTTGTTTTTTTGTTTTTTTTTTTTGCTTTTATTGAACTTGAATTAAACAAAGAGGAGAGATCAGTTTAGAACAAAATACTATTATCCGTCAACGATTATTGTGCACCATAATTTGTACATATTCGGTTTTCAAATCGAATCTGCTGTTTTTGGCATTAATATCCTATATTATTCATTTTTCTTTTTTCCAAATTTTCTTTACCAATTAGAAAAAATTGACTATTTTTATACCTCACGTAATATATATATATAAATATATATATATATATATTCTTTCCCTTCGGTAACACATCTTGCCCATGCTTTCAATTCTTATCACGAAAAATCTTTGAGATACTGAACATAACATCCCTGAGGTTTCTCAACATTATCAAGGACTCTCAAATACTTAAAGCATTCGATTGATAAAAAGTATATAACGACTATGCAAAAACATCCAAGGGCCTAAAACACCTTCGAGTGATCTTTGAAAATTTTTTAGAAATGTGCTTCGGGAATTATTTTTCATTCTCAAAAAATATCAATATTTTTTCTTTTATGCAAAAAGGAGACTCCGGTAATATGATATAATTATCCTGTTTATCCGAAAATGGCTTGATTTTTACTATACGATGTGGAAGATGTTATAAATATTGT